TTTTTTTCATGTATTGTAAAGTTGTGTGAATTTTTCAATAAATTCTTTTGTCAAAACCACTTGCAATCTGATTCATAGCTGAGCGCCTTGCCGCCGGTTACAATAAGTATTCAAGACCCTTTCTATATATATTAAGCCGACAAGGAACTAGCTTTCATCAAAGTAAAAAGGTTTAACTCTCCACAAATCAGTTATTTTTTTATTAAAAATTGTACCTTCCCCTACTCATAATTCTCATGTCTAGCAGTGACTAGTTGGGACTGCATTACCATTTCAAAAACAATATGTTACTAAGAAGAAAACTTTAAAACACTGTGTAAAAAAAGTTTGAAATTGTACCAACATTTAGGATGCTAAAAAATTAAATAAGTTAAGGTACCTAATGTAATGCATAATTGATAGACTGAACTAATGACAAACCTGAATAAGGGCAACTTTATTGAAAAGTGCTTGCTCAACAGCATCTAACTGTTTGTCATCTAATTTTGGTTTGCTTTTTGGGTCTTCCCTCATTTTTTTGAACTCTCGCACAACATCATAAAACCCACTGCTAACACTGCAATCACTTGAAGATGGGTTTTCAAAAATGACATCCCACTTTGGAGGCTCAGTAATATGTCTGAGATAATTTGGACCTGAATTTTGTTGTTGACTTTTCATTTTGTGCTTTGCAAGTAATTTAGCAAACATCCACTGGAAATGGCATTCATCATGTCCTGCAACTGAATGATCAGGTGATTGCTGTCGACTGGCCAGGGGCGATTTTTTGACTTTAACAAGCTGTTCTGCAAATGGGACAGTAACTGCAAGGGAGGAAAAAGTAATAAACGTAAGATAAAAAATTTAGTCAGCAGAGCAGGGCTGGAAAATTAGAAAAGTAATTAATTATCATAATAATTATATCTAGAATGTTGTTGTATGTGGTACCATAATTATAATCATATTAATAAAAAAGACAACAGAAATAATAATTATATTTGAAATATTATACAGTAACCATAATAATTCATAATATTATAATAATATTCAAATAATAATAATATTCAAAATAATAATAATATTCAAAATAATAATTAATATTCAAAATAATCATAACAACAATAATAATAATAATATTCAAAAAAGAATATTTTTCAACACTAACAATTTTGCCTATATCTGCAAAATTCTGTTGAACTAGTGTATACAGTACATCAAAGTTGAAATAAACAAATAATAATAATTAAATAATAATAATAATTCTTTGAGTTTAATAAAAGCAAGATTCGAGCAATTTGTTTTTGGAAAAAAAATCTTTTGTAAATACAAGCAAGTGAGTGAGTTTTGGTCAAGTGACGGTGATGACGTGTCGCCCAAGCTATTGGCCAACAAGCTAGCCAGATATTATTGTTGACTGACATGTTGGCAGGCCATAAAGTACATGATTACCACACCCACTACCGATACTCAACTCACATGTTCAATCCTTATTCATATAATATACAAATAATTACATATGAAATTGCCTACAATTTGTCATAATTAACGTGCAACTACGATCGAATTTCTGGAGTTGCTCATTTTTGCCTGGATTAAAAGACCTTTGATAGGGAAGTAAACTGTAACTTTCCTTTTCAAATATCTTTTTTCCTTCAAGGGACATTGGAGTTTAAAAAAATTAGTGGCCATTTTTCTTGATGACGCCATATTTTCAATATTTGTGAGCAGCCTAAGTTTATGATAAGCTATATCTCAGCC